GCAAGGCACACCCACCTCTCCGCAGCGCCGGGAAGGACCCCCCATCACGATGGTGGGATGGGAGGACGGGGCAGCACTCACCATGCTGGATGTCCTTCCAGAGGACCCAGTACTTGGAGTTGTCCTCAAACATGACGAGGCAGCTCTGCTTGGAGCCACTCACCTGCGGGAGAGAGTAGGAAGAACCGCCAGCTGTCAGCTCCAATTCCCAGCGCTTTCCCATTTTCCCTGGTGACTGGCCCTGCCTCTTGGGGCTGCGGGAAGTCGGGTCTGGGGTCCCAGGGGCAGGACATCAACCTAAAATGCCCTGATGACCAAAGATGCTTTGCAACCCAGGCCAGCACCCCTTCAAGCCACGAGCCGACACAGGGAATGGCGCTAGCTACACTTTGGGTGCCCACCTTACCCTTTTGATCTTTCCGAGATAATAGAGCCCATCGGTCCAGCGGCACAGCACGTACTGCCCCTCCGTCAACTTGACCATGAGCTCTCGGCAGCTGTTGCCCCTCCGCGCTGAGGCGGCGGCTGGTGCTTGCTGGACACGGCCAGCGGCTGCGTAGACATCCCGGATAATGGGGTTGAGCTTGGCGGTCTCCATCAGCAGAGCCTGGAGGGGACGCACATGCTTGTCACCCTGCCCTCGCACCGTGACACACGGCACCCGTCGGCCGAGCACAGCATCCCGGAGGGTTTTTGCCCCGGAGCACCGAGCCCAGGGCTGGTTCAGCCCCACCAGTGGATGCTTGGGACCCACAAAATGAGCGTGGATGAGCCGGCTTCGTCCACGAGTAATTTACATGGAATCAGAGGGAGGAGCCGCAATCTTTGCTGCTCTTGAGCAAGAGTGCATTAACCCCCCCACTGCCTCAGCTCCCGCTGCACGGAGCCCCCCCACCGCGGGGCACGGGGACCCGCCACAGGCCTGAGCAGGCTCAGCCTCGGGAAGGGGCATCTGAGGGACAACAGCTTTCAATTTCATGTGACTCTTAATTCACAATTTCCTAGCACTTTCCCGAGCTCC